AAATACCATGTATCGACAGTAAGGTAATGACATGTGGGCTGAAGATTCACCAACCGTCTGCTGCCTCGCGTCTCTGGGCTCAGGATCTCTTTCGAAGGCTTATGACCTGTATGCCCTTTGACTACACACGAATATCGTTGATTATAACGAAAGATACTTTATTTAGAAATTTACACTTTTTAAATCTACTATCTTCAGAGACAAAGAGTCAAGCATAGATGAGCACAACGCAGAAATGTACAGGCTGGTGTTATTACTAACCTGTTTATTCCAAGCACTTGACTAGGTCGCGAAGGAAATAGTGGGAAAAAGCTGGAAAAACTGTAATTTGCGTAATTACAGGCGGTAAGACGTATTGTGAATCCGCACGGGTAGGTACCACCACCCTGCCTATTTTTACCATGAAGCAGTAATGCGTTTCGATTTGAAGGGTAGTACAGCCGTTGTACTGAACTTGAGGCCTTAGAACTCATATCTCAAGGTGGGTGGTGGCGTTTACGTTGTAAATGACTATGGGCTCCGGTAACCACTTAGCACAAGGTGGGCCGAGCGCTCGTCCACCCACCTAAGCAATAAAAAAATTAAAAAAGGTGATTATAACTTACTCACATATTTTGCTTTTCGCTTTAATATTGACGACAACGCCGCAAATTAAATCGGGATGTTCGAAATTTTCACCGATCATCATCAGGATCTAAAATAATTGAAGACTTTTTCTTACGGAAGATTTCATCATTCTCTATGATTAGGTATTCTCGAACGGTAAACCTAAATAAATATCTCTTCAAAAGGTTTAGGATTCTATAGGCTAGGCGCTAGGGCGGATCACTATATTTTTTATTATGACTTTACTTTTAATACGTGATCTATATCTCTATTTAAATAATTCGATAATTCGAAGCGATCGATTCGATTCTATAAATACCAAAATGTTCAAGTCGAATTTCCTTTACAACTGATTTAAATAAGAGGCCATCTATCGCTTAGCCAATACTAACTAATTAGTTTTTTTTATCCATAAATAGATGAAACGCCCAAATTGATTTACAAAAATATACTTAAATGGATAAATACCAGATCCAACCACAGAGGGTCAAGATTGCGCGCAGATTTGCTTTCGCAAATTATCCATCGTCCGCCCTTTTCGTTAATCGGATCCTCCCACGTAGGCTGAATACCTTTCTTAAAAATCATGTAATCTTGTCCATGGTTTAACTCTGAAGGTAGTTTCATGTAGTGGTATAAACTAGAAATAAGATTTAAAACTATTTTTCCGACTACAGTCGTCGGTGTCAACGACTACTATTCAGATTTCAAAACGCCGGAGCTAATATGAAGACAATAAAATAACGTGAAAATAAAACATGAAACAAGTTGTAGTGCTGGCTGCGAATAGCGGAAGCAAAAGAAAATGCTAGAAATAAGATTTTATCGTATTTGGCCGTCGTGTCGAAAATTATATCCTTTGCACTCCCTTTTGGCCCTGACAACACGCTTATGAGCAAATAGATAAGTGCTATTAGAAATAAAGGAATGNCTAATATGAAGACAATAAAATAACGTGAAAATAAAACATGAAACAAGTTGTAGTGCTGGCTGCGAATAGCGGAAGCAAAAGAAAATGCTAGAAATAAGATTTTATCGTATTTGGCCGTCGTGTCGAAAATTATATCCTTTGCACTCCCTTTTGGCCCTGACAACACGCTTATGAGCAAATAGATAAGTGCTATTAGAAATAAAGGAATGTTGTCCCTTAAGTTAGTCTTAAAGAAACTTAATGATACATATCGTCATAAGTTAAGTAAAGATTGACGTCCTATGCTAAAATCCGTCATTTTCTTGAGTCCGTAATAAACGTAATGAAGATTCTGTAGCTACATGCCTGTACTTGTAAATTTAACGGCAAACATTTAATTAAGCTCGCACTATCGACGTTCAAGAGAACATTACAAACATTATCACAACGCTTTATTGACACAAACAAAAGTTAGCAATGTGAATCACCCAAAGGAAGCGCGCGGGGCAATGACAAATTAATGCAATAATTGTGCGATAAAATTGAATTCTTTTAAATAGAAATGTTTTCAATGAAGCATTGTTGCGTTATTACGTCATACGTTGACAGTAAACAATCGGTCTTTCTCATAGAACTAGGTTTCATATTTCAGTGATCTTTTTACAATCAGCTACGTATATTTACCACCAGTAATCTTCTACAGTAGCGAAAGTTGATAATTCAACCAAGTTGTGTATCCATTCTTTACTCTTATTTGTGTAAAGCCAGTAGCTCCAAGTGTGCTCGAGAGGATGTTTTATTGCTGGCGAGGACTCGGATTGAAGACTAGTATCACCATCTCGCGTCTGAGGTCAGGAAATTTGCATTCAGTAGTTTCTTAAACGATTTGTAGATGATGATCGACACGATCATCTAGAAAGAATACTAGTTTTGGTTTTATTTAATTAATTAATACATTTAATTAATACATAAAATAATATAAACCTAACCAATCGAGACCGAGTCATTAACTCGCAAATGTTGTTACACTTCAAAAAATTTATTTTTGTACAAATTCTATGTATTTAAAGTTTAAACTATGAAATAAACGTTTTAAATGCCATACCTCATGTTGACTGGACAGTGAAGACATTTTTATTAATATTTTTTAAGATTCGAAATCACACAATTTTGTTAAGCTCACTGCAGCGGAGCAATGTTAAAAATCTGACTATCGATCGACTCGTTTATTACAATGACTATATGCGCATGATTAGATACAAATGTCACAAAAAGAGACAGCATTAGGGGAATCCCTGAAAATGACAAGCAAGTGTTGCTAGAGCAATTTAATAAACTGAAAATATGTTATTGAAGTTGTGGCGAGACTTGGGCCTATATCTAACAGTGGACATCTGTGGGCTGAAAGATAGATAAAAGATGTAATTGAAACTACTTTACGGTTTAATCTCGCAATTTTAACGACTGTGGCATTAAAGTGTTGGCATTTTAATATTGTGCTAACTCAAAAATGTGTTCTGTTACGTTATTGATATAATGGAAAATCGGTGTTTTAATAGTGTACTACATTGAAACGACAATCACTTAATATGTCGGTCTCGTTAACTTATTTTTTCCTACCTATGCTGATAGCCTTGAGAGGCTATTTCAGCTTCGCCTTGACGTGTAGATGAGCTCACAGCGCTCAAACCGGAAGTGTTGCTAACACTGGGCGTAGCAAGAGCAGTGCTTCGCAGAATCTACCACCGCATAGGAAACGCGACCCACTGAGAAGATCCGGCGCGAAACTCGGTGGGCTGCGTCTATGTGTTAATTTACTCGTCGAGCCCTTCGTCGCAAGCGACGGGATCAGCGACGACGGTGACAGGAAAATAAGATTTCCGATACCGGGAATCGAAAATGAGCCTCCTGGGTGAAAGCCAGGTATCCTAGCTACTAGACCATATCGCATCTCGTTAACACAATGCAAACAGCGACACCTAAGGAATTGAAAATATTACATCACAGTGGAACTGGATATCGCTCTGAATCGCTACCACTCAGTGCTGCCAACAGTTATACCAGCTTTCCACCGGATTCAACCTTTAAATCCACCAGAAAACCACTAAAATTAAAGTGCTACATTCAACCTCGCTAAATTTTACACTAAATAAAGCTTAAGGAAAGAAAGTATATTTAGAAATTCCTTTCTTTTAGAAATTAGAAATGAATACTTCCTTTTATTATTACAAAAATAATAATTACCAATGAACATACCATTTCTAGGTAAATCAACGATGAAAATTATTCAATAACGACTAATTCTAAATTAAGTCGCCTTCTTCAGATGAATCATTTTTGTCTACACCGTAATCATCGGTTTCAGATTTATATGACTCTTTAGTACCAATTTGATTTACAACGGCTATTTGAATTTTATAACTATTGCAGCATTTTCCTTCCAACCTCAAACCACAGCGCGCTCTCAATATAGCAGTTAAAAAATTTAACCTCATTCTATTCCTCCGTTTTGTTGTTTATTTTAATCATACTGCTAAATAATCTCTCAACATCGGCATTAGAATGAGATAATATTAGGAGACTAATCGCAAAACTCGCTAATTCCTTAAATCTGGGCTCTCCTTGAGTTAACACATGAGATTCGAATCTGTACCCCAAATAACATTTATCGTCTACAAAATCTTGAATATTTTGTGTAAAAATATCTACTTTCTGGGTAGGCCATATTAGTTTGTCAATTAGTGTATCAATCAAATGTGTCAATTTGTCAATAAATTCGAGATTTCTGAATTAATATGTAAATTGTGCTAATGGTTGAGTTTCGTACCTCACCACTGACTGAAGCAACAAAAGACACTAGAAAAAACCACTAGCCACTAATATCCGAATTTGTCCGCTAAAAAGTGAGTCTAAACCGCCAGATCTAGTGGAAATTCCACTCAGTTGGCAACACAGCTACCACTACTGCTGCTTACTTCCGCGTTATTGAGAAATTGCAGCATTGAATATCAATAAGGCTATATTACCACAATAATTTACGTCGGTACATACAAAAATAATATAAAAATAAAACTACATTCATTTTAGTACTTTTTTATAAATACCAAAATTTCAGCACAGATAATAAACCAGTATTGTGAACTTATAATTTTAAACATTTTAAGAAAAAAAAAACAATTAAGTGTATGTTAAACGCATACAATACAAAAGCGTGCAAACATCAACATGAGTGTTAAACATATTATACCAGTTTCCTCACGATAATTTCATAATCTTCCAACATCGCGGGTAGCGTACTTAACCACTTACAACTATGTGACCTTACATACCGACACTCGAGCTTGAGTTTAGTACAAAATCAGACTTTTAACATTCTACAGCTCACGAGGACTATATCATGTCACAATGTAAGATAAATACGACTATAAAAACTAAACAAATACTACTTCTGTTAAATATAATTTTATACTATTATTGTAGTTACGTAAATTCAGTTTATGGGATGTACTGAATATATTTTATTCCATTAAGTTAAACTACTTCAATTAAATACAGTCCGTCCCATAAATCTGCAGATACAAACAAGATATGTAATGCCAAAACTAAACAGTGTATAGATTCTTGGTCGCAGAACTATGCTTAACCATCGTGTCTCTGTGTACTTGGAAACCAATCTTGCCGTGTATCCCTAGCTGTTCTTTCAGTTTTTTCCCAATTTCAATAGTCGCATGCTGCTTCATTGCATCAGCTGTCCAAATAGCTGTTGAAACAAATATTAACAAATTGAAATGTTTACTTTAGAGAAGTTAAAGTTACTAAAAATAGTGCACTATGTAGGAAGAGAAGAAATAGTAATGTTATTTTCTACTTCACCACAACCAGATTATTTGTCCACCAACATTATTTGTTTGCTAAGATATCACAAATGACTCTTGATCAAGTACAATCATTTTATGTAAACAACCATCTCTGGAAAACATCCTTGTGTCATGCAAGGGTATTTAAAATTGTGTTTTTAAAACTGAATTCTGTGCATAAAACATTATTTACATTGTTACATGTTATTATGTCAGGAATCCCCGGCAGTGCAAGTATCCATACCCCATTCTGATGAAATATAGCATAAGGAGATAAGTATGTGATAAGATAAATGATAAATCATTTAAGATAATACACATTTAATTTTGACTAATTTTCACTAAGATGACCTCGAAGACTCTCATAAACTCTCATTATTGTAATTGTATAAAAGCCTACAACAAAGAGACATGAGACAAATTCAGATGAATTGTATCTTTCAGTCTGTATATTTTTTATTTACTCCTTTGCACTACAAGTATCTTAGGGTTTATAAGGATCCATAATGTTTTAATCATTATTAATCTAAACAAATTAAACTAATACATATTGTAATGATAAACGGTTTCCTTTGCTATTTCAGTATTGTACATACTCATAGATAATAAGATAATTATATGCACTACTGCATATATAATTAGAGAACACAGTACAGCAGAGAGTTATATTTATTTATATTTGTGCATAGTATAATACAATTTGAATTCATAAATCACTATAGATAATTTTATAATGTGAGTTGTGCATTTAGTTTTTACTAATTATGTTTGTTTAAGATATGCTCTAATAGTGTTTGGCTCGTTTTCCAACATGACATTGGCTAATATCATTACCTATTATTCATATTAACATGAACACAAACAACAAAACCCTCTAGATATACATAGAACTCAGATTATTATGTAATTTCACTAAGAAAATGAAGATTTTTATTTTGAAACTTACCAATTTTATCTACTTTTGGTCTGACATTAACAACAGCACCACAAATCTCATCTGAATTCTCGAAATTTTCACCAATTAAAAGAAGAACCTGAAAATTAAATACAATATCTCCAATTTAAATGCATCTCACACACATCTCTGGTTCCTTGTTGTAGGTGCTTACTGGTCACATCCTTCCACACATCCACATTACTTCAAACAAAGATCAACAGAACATAGAGCCAAGCATAGAGCTTGTAGGTAATGAGATGGAAGATGATCCTTCATCTCCTTCCTACAATACATTTACAGATAGAAACTGTATTGTAATATTCAACAGGATTTGAGTGGGCAGCCTTAACTATTTGAGGCTTGATTTGTGGTTTCTTAGGAATCAATGATCTTAAATAAGCTACAACATCTTATTAAATGTTTATAAACATAGGATAGTACAATCAAGCTAATATTCACTCACAAACATGCACTCAGAAAAACTTGTCATCTTTTTTTTAGAAAATCTTTTCCTTTCATTATGTCAAACTTGATACTCAAAAAAGTATTCTAAAAGGGTATATAATAAAAAAGTTTAACATACCACATCCAACCAGAACCTATCTAAATCAGTAAAGCGTTGTTTTTTCTCAAGACTGATAAGCCATCTTCCTCCCATCTTGTTAGCATCGTCTTCCCACATAGGACGAATCCCTTGCTTGAATACTGCATAGTCATGACCTTGGCGAAGTTCTGACGGTAGCTTAATATGATGGTACAATCTGTAAAGTGCAATAACAGTTTTGCTTAAATAAAAACCTACTAATTATTAAATTGACTACTCAGAGTAATTTTTGGCATTTTCTTATTATAATGGAATGAATCTATAGAATGAATGAATGAATACATGTTGACAAAAATAGAAACCATGTTTAGCACAGGGGGCTACGACAGACACATTGTATCTGCCATTTGACATCTATCAGTAAGCAATGAGTAGTCACTGGTTCCATAAGTCACTCATTATTTTCGATGTATTTCTTAAAAGTTTTTTGTGCACAAACACCTCAATGATTTTTAGAACATTCTTGATATAATTGTGTGCGAAGGGGAAATATGCCGTGTACATATGGCATCCATCACTCCGTTCTACATGTTAAATACATTAATATTTTATAACTAGTAAATCAAAGAACATATTATTATTTCTACAACTAATCATATTAATTCATTATAGATACGTAGTAATTAGCTCTATAAGAAAGTGTTCTAGTTTAATCTTGAGCAGAATTAATTCTGTTTAGGTTCAGGTTCCATCAGAATTTACTTTCTCATCTAGATTGCAAAAGTATAGAAGTTGCATGAATGTACTTCTAAAATGTATGAAATTACATTTATAATTTACTTCTGTAACCGGCATTTTCCTTTACCTCCAAAAGTCTTCAACTGTATCGAATGTAGTCAACTCAATAAGATTCTCCTCCCATGTTTTGTTTCGGTCATTGTCGTAAAACCAGAGACTCCACTGGTTTTGTAACGGGTGCTTGATCAAAAATTCAGGGGGCACCTCCGCGTTACTGTTGGTCTTCGTTTCAGTGGTAGTAGACCCCTTAAAAACACAGGTCATTTTTATTAGTGAACCTAACCTAAAAAAAATATTGTTATTTTCGTAGAAGTCGTTTAACGACTTAATCCGGAATATTTTTACACAGAAAACCACTCGAGCGAGGTAAAGTTATAATTTATACTTGAAAACTAGACAATTATGCTAACAAATGTAACAGTGAAAGTTAACGAAGCCACATCAGCAAATTGCGGCAAAATTATAGGTTTTACGATTGTATAACCGGCAAAACGAGGTAGAAAATTACTTTGTTTTCTTAATAAATACATCTACCCACCTCTACTTCTTCTGTAGTATTTCCAGCCATATCTTGAGAGGATAACGATGCAAATTTCCTACAAAAAGGAGCGACAGAGTCAACGGGGTTGCCAAATCAGAAATCGCGTAAATTATTTATTATTTTATAAAGTGGATGTGCGCTAATCATGGTCTAGATTTATTTAAAGGGTGTCATTTTTTTGTCTACCTATGTTGGTGATCTCATGGGATTATACCAGCTTCACGAAGCGAGTAGGCGAGTTCACGGGGCTAAGCCTGGCGAATTTGCTAACACTAGCCCTATTAAGAACAGTGCTTCGCAGTATCTACCACCAGATCGGAAACACGACCCACTGAGAAGATTCGGCAAGAAACTCAGTGGGCTGATTAGCTCAGGGTTAATTTGCTCGCCGAACCCTTCGTCGCATTCGAGAGGAGTGACGAGAATGGTCACCAGTACTGGGGGGTGCCTAAAAGCACCGATAGTGGATCGCGAGGATCCGAAATGACGTGTTTTGGGCAAATGGAAAATATTAAATCACGGCATTTCCATCATCACCTTATAAACACAGGCCTTTTCCGAAGTTGGCTACAGTGACCAGTCGAGCAGATCTCGTGACCTTCATCAGGTCGGTCCTTCGAACCGTTGTGAAAGGTCTACCCACTAGACATGTAAGTAATGCGAGTGATATTACTCGGGTAATATTACTCAACGATGTAATGCAACATCACACATTACGCGAAGGAAACAAACATCACACTATCACCCAACATGTTTCTTTCTTTGTCGTGTAATGTTGCTTAATACACGAACGGAACCGAGCGAGCGAGACAGACCGATCGACGCAAAATAAATGAGCAAGCGACACGGAATTATTCCTAGTGATTTTGAACCGTATGTCCTGGCCGCTAGGTACATTTTTATACCTATGGTACGTCTGAATTTTAATATAGGTATTTGTGTTTATATTTTTCATGCGGCCAGCCGGTAGCTCCCCGCAAGTACTTACTTAATTTTTTATTCGCAACTTTTGTAAAATCGCTAGTCGCTCGTAATTGTTTAGTAATATTTCATATTAATTTTTGTGTTTGATTTGAATTACTTAAGCACTTGTTTGAAGATAGTTTTATTATTTGTTTTAATGCGTGTTTAATAAGTGAAAGAAATAACGGCGTCTAAATGAAAGTACAGTCCTCCTTGGATGCACTTTGAGGATATCGCGCCGAAACAATGCATCTACTGCTCTCGTATATTAACATTATTGTCGAGCTCAATTTGCAGTCTAAGTCGCCATATGAAATCCGTTCATCCCACAATAAATTATATTAAGTAAAAAATAAAATTATTATATTATTAAGTAAGTCAATCTCTGTCAAGTAATATAACAGTGTATTACAATACAAAGTTCATACTTTGTATTGTAATACACTACTGTAATGACACTGTGTTGATACACATCACTTAGGTAATGATTCGGGTGTATAGATACAATGTATTCGTCGTCACAGTATCTATTGAACGCACCGAGTAATGTTAAGAGTGATGTGTAATGTTTTCGAGTAATATCACCTGTCTGTAAAAGTGATGTCATATCACATTACATTGGGAAGTGATGTTTTGCGCAAGTCTACTACCCACAATGCGCCTTACAGCGTGCGATTGCCATTCGAAAACTTTTGAGCAGAGTAGCCACCTGTCTTACCTGCAATATACCAAAGCATAGCTGTGAAAAGTTGTTTCGCTGCTGACCTCTATTTAGAACTAGCTAATAGAAATCATCGTATGATATCCTTATCTATGCACAACCTCTTTTTTTAAAGGGATTTTATGATCTGGTAACTAAGACCATTAAGTCAAGTCTTATTTTAATTTATTTTCTTATGTTTATGAAAAATGATAATATTGAGTCAAATGAAATGAAATTGAAACGAAATGAGATGAAATATAACCTCAGTAAAATGGTGGTCATTTACTGAGACTTTTTCAGTGGACTTTTTGGAGGATCCCGAGAAGCTACGTTCAGCGGCTTTGTTTCATTTTCCCACATTTGTGCACTTTCTCAGATACTAAACAGTTAATAAACCACCGTTATTACACATTTACACCTGAAGAAACACTAAATAGACAAAATAAAACAAATCACACAACTTCACTTCTCGAGTTCCCGCCAAAAAGGCATGCACAACCCTATGCGAGCACAGACCGGAAATAAATTCATAATAAAATTGTAATTTGTAAAATAATTCACTTGAGAAGCAGCAAGTTCAAAGGCAAACTTTATGCTGAAATTCAACCCTCGATCTCCAGTAAACCATGGTTCTTTAAAGCTAAAAGTTCTAAAATTGTCACTTCTATCATTTCCAGAATGCGTTTAGGACATGTATGTACACCTCATCATTTAGCAAGGCTTCGTATTGTTGATAGCAATATTTGTGAGTGTGGAGAAGATATTGGTGATCTCGACCATATTTTCTTTTCTTGTTCCCAATATGACCGCANGTATCTATTGAACGCACCGAGTAATGTTAAGAGTGATGTGTAATGTTTTCGAGTAATATCACCTGTCTGTAAAAGTGATGTCATATCACATTACATTGGGAAGTGATGTTTTGCGCAAGTCTACTACCCACAATGCGCCTTACAGCGTGCGATTGCCATTCGAAAACTTTTGAGCAGAGTAGCCACCTGTCTTACCTGCAATATACCAAAGCATAGCTGTGAAAAGTTGTTTCGCTGCTGACCTCTATTTAGAACTAGCTAATAGAAATCATCGTATGATATCCTTATCTATGCACAACCTCTTTTTTTAAAGGGATTTTATGATCTGGTAACTAAGACCATTAAGTCAAGTCTTATTTTAATTTATTTTCTTATGTTTATGAAAAATGATAATATTGAGTCAAATGAAATGAAATTGAAACGAAATGAGATGAAATATAACCTCAGTAAAATGGTGGTCATTTACTGAGACTTTTTCAGTGGACTTTTTGGAGGATCCCGAGAAGCTACGTTCAGCAGCTTTGTTTCATTTTCCCACATTTGTGCACTTTCTCAGATACTAAACAGTTAATAAACCACCGTTATTACACATTTACACCTGAAGAAACACTAAATAGACAAAATAAAACAAATCACACAACTTCACTTCTCGAGTTCCCGCCAAAAAGGCATGCACAACCCTATGCGAGCACAGACCGGAAATAAATTCATAATAAAATTGTAATTTGTAAAATAATTCACAATTCACCAAAGTGTATAATCTATGCAATTCACATTATTGATCGGTTTCAAAACTCCGTGTGCGTCGTCTGGCTTGCCGGCTTATTCGACGGTTAATAATTAGATTATACAGTAACAAAACAAAATTTAATACATCACTGTAAAATGTCAGTTCACAATATCTTATTGGATTTCTCGATTGAAGCGGCCCGTCTGGAAGATGAAAACGGCCAAAAAGATATCTTTGGACAATTGGAAACTCTATTAAAAGAATATATACCAAATTTGATCCTAGCCACCGACATAAAATTGGAAGATGGTTCATTGAAATTATTAACCGGTAATAAAGGAACGACTGTATCCGTTAGGATGTTTGACCGAGGTTTCATTACTTTAAATATTGAATTTTACAAGGGCGGAAATGAGGAGTCCGTGATCGATCACAAGGTGAGGATTATATCGATTGAATGTATTGAGTGCTATTATTTTATTTTGGCACATTATATTATTTTTGTAAAGTCTTTGCGAAACTTGGTAGAAAAAATAAGAAGTACTAAAAATAGTTTAACCATTTTATCATATGATCTTATCTATGCCTTGTCAAAAATACTAAGATTTTAATTTAAAAAAAATTAAGCATTAACTGAAGGACCAATTTTTTTATGGACTACCTTCATTGCATAAAAATTTGCAAGCCTTCAAAGTCGTTGTAATACTATCTTGCTTATTTTAATGTAGAGGACAGTTATTAATCTAATGCAAGTTATAACTTGAGGTATACCTCTACCGGGCAACTTATTTGCAATTAACTCATTCAAAGAATCTTGAAAACAATAAAAATATAATCTGCAATTTTGTTCACAGACTGCCAAAGAACTTGAAAGCAAAATAAAAAAATATATTTCTAGTATAAAGTCACAAACATATATTCCACTAAAGAGATGTTTGTTTGGTAGATATTATCCTAGTTCAGGTATGTATATGGCACTAATTTTCTATTGATTAATTTCAGGTCGTTCATAATTTTTTATACCTCCTACTCTTTCATTTCTAGCAGTGCATGCAAGCTCTCAATTTCTAAAAAAATTAAAAAAATTAAATATTATGTTCCTTAAATAACCCTCCTTAAAAATCTAACAAAAGTACTATGAGTACATAACGAGAAAATCTTTAGTTCCTCCTGATAACTTCAAAGCCCACCTGGTATTAATCAATAACCTTGGTATGAGGTTCAATTTTACTTGAAAACTGCTATCTTACTGGATAACTGCTTTAGACCATAATACACAATTGCTTCTCAATAGGAAAATGGTACCACCTCACAACAGGCTAGAGTCTAGTGCTCAGATTTAAAGTTAGGTAGAAATAAAGAAGGAAAAGACAAGATGTCACCACCACAGAAAGACGATGAAGAAGCCTTATAGCATAACTTTAAATGGCACATAAATATTTTTTTTATTTTATGAATTTTAAATCTATAGATGGACGTCTCCTGGAATATGATATTGATGAAGTTGTATTTGATCAAGAATCTCCATTCCAAAGAGTTCAAATTGTTCATTCTAAGTCATTAGGAAACATGTTAGTGCTGGATGATTTACAAAGTAAGTGTAATTGACTTTTTAAAATGGTGTACAGTAAAAATTTTGCATTAGTAAAATTGATTAATCTCTGTAAAGTGATTAGATTGCTTTACTTAAAACAACTGTCTGGTTTATTTAAAAGTGACCCCATAAAAAATTGGCCAGTGGTTTTTTTTAATGGACTGGAAGGAAATTCCGGTGTCACACAAGTTAACTTAAAAAAGTCCAGACGAAAACAACAACTAAAATATGATAAATATTTATAGATGTAAATTTATTCCCAAAAATAAAATGGAAAAGTGGCTTTAGTGGGAACCCACTCCTATATTCATTGTTTCTTAAACTGCTAGACAAAATCAAGATTGTGGGAAGGACCAAATCAAATGAAATTACAGGATAGTTTCTAAAAAATAAATTTAAATACAATTCCAATCTCAATATGATAATCATCCCATCATGATCAAAATCCATACTAAATTCCCATATATTGATTTCTCCATAAATTTTGTATTCTTCTGTTTATATATTTTTTTCNGGGATTATATTTTTACAGATGCCTCTAAAATCTCTATTGATGATTGTGTTGGAGTCGGTCTAGTTCATTGGCAACATAAAATAATACAAAAGATTAAACTTCCTCCTGAATCCTCTGTTTTTACTGGAGAGTGTTTTGCTCTTTTAAAAGCTGTAGAACTAGTTATTTTATTAAAATCTAAAAGAACAATCATATTTTCCGACTCAAAAAGTGCACTACGAACTATTGAAAAATTTCCATTCCAAATGAAACCTTGTTATCCTATTATATGCGAAATACGTGATAAGCTTTTGATATGTTCTCAAAGAAATCACACCATTATCTTTGCATGGATTCCAAGTCACTGTGGGATTAAAGGGAACGAGAAAGCCGATCAGCTTGCCAAAGAAGCTATAAAGGATGGAGACATAGTCCCATACATTAATTATTGTCATGATTTGACTACTCTTCCCAAAACCTATCTTTGGGAGTCATGGAATGATGTTTGGTTGAGAAGCAGCAAGTTCAAAGGCAAACTTTATGCTGAAATTCAACCCACGATTTCCAGTAAACCATGGTTCTTTAAAGCTAAAAGTTCTAAAATTGTCACTTCTATCATTTCCAGAATGCGTTTAGGACATGTATGTACACCTCATCATTTAGCAAGGCTTCGTATTGTTGATAGCAATATTTGTGAGTGTGGAGAAGATATTGGTGATCTCGACCATATTTTCTTTTCTTGCTCCCAATATGACCGCACCTCCTTTATGAATTCCTTACAATTACTACAGGTTCCGTTTCCGACTAAAATCTCCTGCCTTTTGCTTTATCCTTTATTGTATTATAATGTATTATCCTCTTTCATAATCAATAATAATATTAAGATTTAATATATTTAATTTATTTTTATTAATTATTTTCCATGTCTTGTTTTTAACTAGCTTATCCTTTTGTTTCCTTTTGATGACTTTGTCGCGTGTAGTTTCCACTGAAGTAGNTATTCATTGTTTCTTAAACTGCTAGACAAAATCAAGATTGTGGGAAGGACCAAATCAAATGAAATTACAGGATAGTTTCTAAAAAATAAATTTAAATACAATTCCAATCTCAATATGATAATCATCCCATCATGATCAAAATCCATACTAAATTCCCATATATTGATTTCTCCATAAATTTTGTATTCTTCTGTTTATATATTTTTTTCTTTTTATTTTCTTTTCTTGTTTTGTACAAATATATTTGCTAACTCATTTTTATGCACAGTCATTGGACTGTTGGGGACTTGTTGTCAATAACTTGATAAAATCTCAAAAAATGATTCCCCTAGCTTGGTCCTTATTTAGTTTTGTTCTCAACCCTTCTCATAATTGAATCCACCCTTGATATTGCGTAATATTGGGGCATGATTTGTCTCTCACTGAAATGAATAATTAAATAGATTAAATTGAATTAATTAAAATTTAAAATGCCATAGTGTGTTAAAAAAGTTTACACTTTTATTTATTTATAGATATCTCAGAAGCTGATCTAATTTACACTGAAACTTTGATGCAGAGAAACAAGGAGAATTATGAAGGAAAGGAAATTGTCATACTCGGTAAGTTTGGAATACATAATGTATATGGCTGATCTGTGATGGTGAAGGACACCTTACCAATTTACTTACTCCACAGATAAAATAAATCAAGGGTTTGAATCTACGACGTGGACAGCAATTTCGCAAATGACTACCGGTTATACAGTTTAGTAAATTGCTTTACAACGAGCAATCTTTCTCGGGAACTTGTCAGTCCCAATCAACATTCACAACTGCAGAAGTGATTTCCTTTTGTTGATTCTCACTGGCAATCTGATTCTCAACTTTTTTTTCCCTACCTAATCTGGTGGTCTAGAGAGACCATGTCAGCGTCACTGGGCTAGTAGGTAAGCTCACGGGGCTCAAACCTGACGATGTTGCTAACACGAACCCTAGCAAGAGCCGTGTTTCGCAGAGGTTCTCAACGGATTATTGAACTGTGTAAAAGCGCTGCCGCCGCTCGTGTTGAAATATAAAGTCTAAGTACAATGCTTAAGTATAACTGTTCTTCACATGTGAATGGCTAATTTATTTCTTAACTAGCGACCCGCCCTCGTTTCGGAAACATAAAATTTTATTGTTGATGATAGCTGAGTCCCGCGATGCTACCCGCAGCTATTGTCGTACCGTGGGTGAAGCCGCGGGGCGAAGCTAGTCTAAAAAAAAGCCTAAGTTACTCCTTATATCATCAGCTACCTGTCAGTGAAAGTCTCGTCAAAATCGGTCCAACCGTTCCAGAGATTAGCCGGAACAAACAGATAGAAAGACAAAAATTTAAAAAAATATATTTTTGTATATCTACTGTGGTATACATACTTACGCATTTAGTAAAAAGTGGTTATTTTATTATTACAAACAGACACTCCAATTTTATTTATTTGTATAGATTTCATGAAATCGCAAGGAAAACTGACTATCCGAATCTTTCTTAACCATGTAAATAAATGTAGGTATATTTGCTACCTGGCTATCTGCTGTCTACATAATGTAACTAGCTACGCCCGCGGCTTCGCCCGCAAAAAATGCAACTTTACATTAAAACATAAAAGCTATTAGGACATGAGACGATTCAGAAAGCTAACATCATAAGATAAGTTTAGGTGAACATTAAAGCGTATTATTTTTATAAACATTATTATATAATTATACATTTATGTTTTCGTTTATATATATTATGTATAAATTTCATATCAATTCGACCTATGGTTCAAAAGATAAAAATCACTGTTAGCCCAGCTCTACTAACCTAACTATGTTTGTCTGAGTGGTCATATCGCCCTTTCTAAGTGTGCAAAATTTGATATCTATTTCACTAACCGTTCTCGAGTTTTAAGTGAACGTATATATGAGGTCATCAGCGCAAAAGTGGCCTAACCCCGATTTTTTTATAATCAAGCCTATATGACGTATATTCGAATTTATTTAAAATATAATAAATTTTGATGCAAAACCGGCCTATCCAAGTTTCACCCGTAGATAACAGATAGCTTTGTACACATAAATTTTGCACGTATTGTTTTTTTGCCTATTCAAATTCAAATTCATGAAAATTCAAACCTATTTACCTCCATACTATCTATGGTAAGTTTAGGCCACTTTGGCGCTGACGGCCTCATATATACACATACATTATCTTTTTCTACATATAGATAGATGATTACAAACTCTTTTAATATAATCTATAATCTAATTTTGGTTAAATTTAATTAATACCAGTCGAACCCGGCTTCAAATGCCATTATCCTATCTGTTCCCCTAGATGTCGTAAAAGACTAAGGGAATCATGAGAAAATGGGCACAAGCGATCTCTGAGTTTTATAGCAACGCACTGCGATTGCCTACCTGCATATTATTACACTGGCGATAGAACTTATTGTAAGCCCCCACGGATAGTAACAACAACCTGTCTATTTCAGCCGCGAAGTAGTCTTGCGTTACTAGGCATTACCCTTACGCAATACCATTAGCCAACTGAGTTTCTCGCGGGATCTGCTCAGTGGGTCGCGATTCCGATCCGGTGGTAGATTTAGCGAAGCGCTGCTTTTGCTAGGGTCAGTGATTCTTTCAGCTTAAGCGAGTGAGCTTACCGGTCCGCGAGTAGTTTGAATAGCGTCTTAGGCTACCAATGATTAGGTAAAAGAAATCAATAGCCACGTTCAATAATTTAATTCAATAGAATTTAAGAACCCGCTCGATTAAAGTCTCGTCGCTTCATTTATAACCAACCAATTGATGGTTATAAATGAGCACAATTGAAACTTGAAACGGATAATGCCTTTCAATTGTATCCAATTGAACGGAAGCCACTTTGCTAAATTATTTTCGCGTGATATGTACAGAGCAACGCTTTGTTGGGGCCGTTTTGTTGGTAACTTTTTCTAATTTCCTAAATATTCTCTTAGATTTAATTGAATTCGAATCGGTATTTTCAGTTCCAGATTTCGTGTAAATTTTTTGTATAGTGATAGATAGCGTCGACCGTTGAAATAGGTTCATATTATTAATTTACATACGCTGGGTATTTTGCATGCAAAAATAATATTTTATTGTTTTTTTTTATTGCTTAGATGTGTGGACGAGCTCACAGCCCACCTGGTATTAAGTGGTTACTGGAACCCATAGACATCTACAACGTAAATGCGCCACCCACCTTGAGATATAAGTTCTTAGGTCTCAGTATAGTTACAACGGCTGCCCCACCCTTCAAACCGAAACGCATTACTGCTTCACGGCAGAAGTAGGCGGGGAGGTGGTACCTACCCGTGCGGACTCACCACCTACCTACCACCACCTACCTACCTACCTACTTTGTTTGCTTGTGCGTTCTTCGTGCGCTTTGTACCAGACACTCATAAGTTGGAAGTCTAAGGCGACGAGTTCGACGAGGACGGTGACCGGTGCTTGAAGGGTCTAAAAGCGACGACAGTGGATCCGCAGGATTCCTGAAGAGACATGTTTTTAGATTTTTTAGTCGGATATATAATTAGCGGCAGCCACGATAAGAGGGTTATCGTGTCACGCTGCTTTATCAACAAAGTAGCGTACTGACGCTTCCTTAAGATACTTACGTATCGGTTCTAGATTTAGGTTGTCGTGAAGAATAACATTCTTCAACGTGCCAAATATTCAATAGGTTTCTAAGCCGATAACGCTACATAAATGGATAGAGATAATTAAAAATAAACCTGATTTTTTGGAAATTATTTATGAACGTATAGAGGACAATCATACAAACACTCGTTTTTAGTATTTTAACATTAACTTATACGAAATTAATTCTATAAACATAATTAACATGTAACACATTATAATAATACTGCTTTAATGGATTCGCTGATAGCAACAGTACATACTGATATCGTACATTGGAGAAAATAAATACTTTGGCGTCCAAAGTATCCAAAAGCTTTGAACTTTGCACAAAGTTCACATGAAAACATTTGGTACTTATGGAACCATCCATCCATACACCTGGAATCGCCTTATCTTGAAGATGAAGACTTTGAAATCAATATGCTAATTTGTTATTTTTCCGGTCCACTTGTTGTTAAATGGATGACTCCTTACTGGTGGTAGGTAGTCTTGTGAGCTCGCATGACAATTTACCACGACCCTGTCTATTTATACCATGAAGCAGTAATGGGTTTCGGTTTGAAGGATGGGGCAGCCGTTGTACTGAAACTTGAAACATAAAAGTCATGTATCAAGGTGGTCAGCGGCATTTACGTTGATTGATATAGGCTATAGGCTGTGGTAATCACTTAATATCAGGTCAGCTTTGAGCTCTTACCCGCATCTAAGCTATCTAAAAACACATTTTTAGATTAAATTTTGACATGGGATGTTTTTTTTAATCATCGCACAAGCTGTCCTTGAATACGTGTTAATTTAGAAAAATTGGTGTCTGTCTGATTTGAATCAGCCGTTGTGGTTGGATCATTCGACATGAGGACACGGGTCGCCTTTATTACGCAATTAGTATTAATTATTTGTTTATTAAGTTTTAATCGCGATGTATGAAGTGTGGCCGCATTTAATATTAAGTTAGCGGAATCGTCATGAACTTATTAAGATAAAGTTATTTGTTAATTTATTAATATATTTCTTTTATTACTGTATAAACTATTATGTGTGTATGTATTTATGTAGGTATTTATATGTATATGTCATTGTGTATATGTATATATATTGTGTATGTATTTTTAATTAATCTATACTTCTATACTAATACTAATATATAAATCTACAGTGGTTTTTACGGATGTTCCGTTATAACTACTGAACCATGCATCCGATTGACTTGAAACTTGGTATCCATGTAGAAAATACATGTACTTAATGGATAGGCTATATTTATATGAGTGTTGGACCCCTAATAATAATGTTAATTTTAAATTCCCAGCGAAGTGGCCGAGTACGGCTAGTTTAATATAAATCTCGTTGCACCTACCACTATTTATTCTGCACTTTGGTTGGCTGGTAGAGAATGCCTTAGGCATTAAGTCCGCCAATGTAAACTTTACATGAAGTGTAATAAATAAATAAATAATATTTGAATGGAAATCATTTGATCTAAGTCTTGTTGTGATATATAAAAGAATGAATACAGCCCCCTTTTTAATACGCTTTTCTTAGCTTCAGACGTATGTATGTTATTATGTAACGGAATCTTTGAACATGATTTCGACCCCCTTCAAAACGTCGGATTAACTCGAAATTTGGTATACTTATTAAGGACCGATGACAATACAATATTTAAAAAAAATTTGACAAAATTGAAATTCAACTAAAAAATTAAAAATAAATAATACATAGTTTAAAAAAACAAACAAAATACGCTTTTCTAGAAAATCCAACTATCATTGTATCATGGTGGATGGTATCAGTTGTTATAAATATTTTATGAACAGATATGAGTAGAAGGGTTATTTTGATAATATCCTGAAAAGCACCCCTATTTATAATTCAAATTTATTAAAATTTATTTTCTATTTTTAGTTGTATTTTCTATAAAAGCGTTTTTTGTTGGTTTTTTTTTTAACAATTATTTTTGTGAATGATTTGTAATGTTCATCTGCGGCCGCAGGAGGGGGCGACGGCGCGCTGCTGTACGAGCTGCTAAAAGAGAAGCCGAAGTACGTGTGGATGTTGGAAATCGATGAACTAGTCATGAACGCCTGCAACAAGCACCTCAACTCCATCTGCGGCGACGTACTCGAGAAACGCAAGGGGCCTAACTATGAGGTAATCTATCACACTTTTTATTTATTTATTGCATATATGTATTTGTTTATTTTAAACCAGGATGAAAAGTTCGCTTTTAGTCCCTGGCACCCGGGACAAAAGCATCCGATTCTCTCCCGGTGAATTGTATAATAAAAATAATTGTATAATGTACTGTATAAGCAAGTACCTAGGGAGAAAAGTTGGACATTCACGCCCGCGAATTTTTGTTCGCGGGTGAGTAATATACTATTACCCACCTCGGTGCGTTTATTTTATTGCGTTTATTATTTATTTATTTATAACTTTCTATACTTGACAGTATAAAGGCGGATTTAATGCCATAGGCATTCTCTGACACTACCTTAGGGGGATGCAGAGATGAACCTTGGTAGGTGTAGTGTTATAGTGATATTAGGTACTTAAACATATGTATATATAAAACACATAATATTTATAGATACAAATACTAGTACTTAAATAAATACATATACATAAATATATACATATAAAAAATATATAAATAAATAAATATCAATTATGGGTAAAGTATGGGTGGACGAGCTCACAGCCCACCTGGTGTTAAGTTGTTACCGGAGCCTATAGACATCTACAACATAAATTCCGCCACCCACCTTGAGATATGAGTTCTAAGGTCTGAGTATAATTAGTTACAACGCCTGCCCTACCCTTCAAACCGAAATACATTACTTCTTCACGGCAGAAATAGGCAGGGCGGTGGTACCTACCCGTGGGGACTCACAAGAGGTCCTACCATAAGTAAAAAATAGTACTTTAGAACAGGGGCTTCCCAAACTTATTTTGGCTACTGTCCACTTTTAGAATAAATTATTTTTAGCGCCCGCATTTTTTCACCTACTTAAAAACCACTATAGCGGAGCTCAGTCGGTGTCTCAGAGTCCTCCTAGATGAAATTACAAATCGCCTCCCAAACCTCTACATAACGCCCCGCATTTTTTTTTTCTGGGTCTCTTACCGCCCCCCATGTGGTCTACAGCGCCTATTGTATAAAGTAGAAAAACCGACTTCTAATCCTAGAAGTATTTATTACACTGATAGTTGAACTATGACTACAAAAATCCGTCATACCATTATTTTCTATTTTGTGCCATGCAATTAATTAAAATGGTGACTTATTTAACTAAATTCATGGAATTTCATAGTTTCTACTTATTACTATTATAATATACTAGCGACCCTCCCTCGCTTCGCTTCGGAAACTGTAATTTATTATTGATTTCTCCACTATTTAATGGATGTTATTATACCTATAAACCTTCCTCTTCAATCACTCTTATCTATTTAAAAAAACCGCATCAAAATTCGTTGCGTAGTTTTAAAGATTTAAGCATACATAGGGATATAGGGACAGAGAAAGCGACTTTGTTTCATACTATGTAGTGATAAAATATATGTATATTAATATAATATTTAATTAATTAATTAAAAAAAATATAAATGTGCAAATATTAAAATGCTTTATCTTTGAACTTTATTCTTATACACAATAATTTAAAACCATTGTAACATTACTGTATTAACAATAAGACCACGATTGCAACACAATTTTAATATTTTTTTGCGATCATGTAAAAATCATCAATCATGTGATAAAAATATTTAAATACTAATCCACATTTTTTAGATTAGATAGTTCATAAATTGTACTAAGTTTGAGAGCTAACCTATACTCAGAACACACTGAAGGACTTGTAACTGAACTGGTTGCAGATAATCGTCGCCGACTGCATGATCACCGTCAACAAGTTCATAAAGGAGGGCAAGAAAGTTGACTACATCTTCGGCGACCTCACCGACATCCCCATCTCCGACACCGTAGAGGGAGAAATCTGGGAATTCATGATCACCATCCTCAAAGCTTCCTTCAGAATATTACGGTCTTCTGGGAAGTTTATGACGCACGTAAGATACGAAAATATATTTATTCAACTGCGATAGTGACTGAAATAGACGGACGGTCTGGACTCTATGGGCCTGTCCACGTCACGCACCCATCTCGTGAATGCTAGCCAAGTTTGAAAAAAAACTGATTGATTTGTAATTCATTAGATAAAAATTTATAAAAAAAACTTTTCAAAATACTCTCGCATAGAATTATAATACACTAGCCGTACTCGCCCGCTTCGCTGGGCATTTAAAATTGACATTATTATTTATTGTCATTATTATTAGGGAATCCAACACTCATATAAATATTGTCCGGCAAGATGTAAGAACCATTAAAACTGTCTGGCTATTGGGGTAACATATTTTTATAAGTCCCTAAGTAACATATATAAAATTCAGCTTTTATAGTTTAACGAAAGTATAATTAAAATTTATTAAAGTTTAGGGGTGTCCGGCAGGGGGTAGCAACTATAAAAAGTGTCCGGCAATGGATATCGTGATTTCTAAAGATATTCTGGAGTAATTAATAAAAAAAATAACTTTATACTTTAACGAATTTAAGGTACTATTTTATATACCTTTACTGCCTGTTACCTGCCCAAGCAACCACAATCGGAACTCTATAGTCGGGGGTCGTTCTTACCTGTGCTGGAGACATACACAGAGAAACTTTCAGCTTTTATAAAATAACGAAGGTCTGGCTGTCGCGGGCTCTTGGGCTATAAGGCGAGCTCACAGCCGTCCGGTCGCTGACCGCCCGTACACAGCGCAACGAATGCGTCTTGAAACCTATCTTGCGACATGGGGTCGAACCCTCAATTTAATTGTATCCCCCTATTCTCAATTTAAATGTATCCCCCCCTACTCGTCAAACCGGAATGCATGGACAAAATACATAGTATTAAGCCTTCGTCGTGAAACTTATTTTGTTTTGAGCGAATTCATATTCCGTACTCGGAACTGGGTTCGACGGTGCTTCTCCGGACGTTGCATATCGTTGGGAGCTTCTGCGACAGCGCCATAACTTATTATTATTATAATCATTTCAAATCAAATTTGCTTAGAAAATAGTTCTTACACAGCACAAAAATCCGATCTTCCTACGACCAAGAAGGGCGGCCCTCAGCGACGTTCGTTTGCTGAACAATAATCCGTGTGCTTAGCGCGACTTTTTTAACGTTCTCGATAGCGTAAAAGTTAACTCATATTTGTATGGAATGGGATCGTTTGCCTACATCTGCCAATAGAGGGCGCTGTTCCAACTGCATACAACTTTGAGTTAACATTTACTCCATGGGAAACGTTAAAAAAAACGCACTAAGTACACTACACTGCAAGCATTTTTTTGTATGTGTATAGATAACGGTATCAGTGGTGTCAATGTCTGTTAATTTCAATCTTCTAAGAAGCTCAAAAAAATCCAAATGTACATACATGATCAATATTCAATAATGATCATTGCTCTACAAAATCTAAACTATATGGGAAACGTCACAAAAACGAAGTGTTCCAACTGCGTACAAATTTGAGTTAACTTTTACGCTATCGAGAACGTTAAAAAATTCTCACTAAGCACATTGAAGTAATGTTGTGTCGCGCAGGGGAACGGTGCGACATCCGGCGAGTCCTTGCAACTGTACGAACAAGAGTTATCCAAACTCGATCCTCCGGTCGCCTTCCAAAGGAGCATGGCGTTCGTGCCTTCGTTCTTCGAGGACTGGATCTTCTACCAAATCACTTTCAAGGACAAAGGAACTGGAGATGATTAACAAAACGCCAAATAATTGTTGTAGATTACAAATCTAAGTCAATTTTTTTTTTGTCAAAACTATTTTGTATTTAGTTCACAGATTGATTGTTGAATGAACGAAAAATGTACAGCTTGTTAATAAGCAGTAGTGTTAAATTAGGAATTTAGCATTAGAAATGTAATAAATAGAATGTTGTTTTATATGACGAACGAATTTTGTATAAGAAATTTAGAAGTATCTATGGAGCTCTGTTTAATGTTTCATACCTCTAGTTCCTCTACCTCAAAAAACATTAGTATATTTAATTTAACTGCAATACAATTCAAAACAGAGGACTCCTTGACAAATATATAAATGCTATTAAAATTTATATGAAAATTCACAATGTAAAGTTTATTAGAAGCATTGATGTTTAAAAAATATTCAATGTGTTACCATTACGTATGCAATACGAATTAGTTTTCTATATTAGATAAGGGATGTGGAAGATGTATAAAGTTGTGTATATACTAAGTTATGTACCCTCATAAGACTTTATACGTACTCTGTTAGCATAATTGAATTATTTACTAACTGTGAAATTATAATTTTGAACGAACTAAAATTGTGTTTTACATCGACGTGCGCGACTTCGTCACACGCTAGCAATGCATTAATCTATATTTCCGAAAGCCCGTTCAAGTTGTATAATTAGTGTGTACAATTCAAGCTTATCACATTTTTTTTTTCGTTTAATAAAAACTTCCCAAAACAATTTATTTTTTATTAAATAGGTTAAGATTGTTATGTTAAAGATCTACCGCTTAAAGTTTTTTAAGGAAAAGTAATATCGTAATCTATGATTTAAATCAGAATTTCCCAAAGTGGGCGATAACGCCCCACTGCAGGTGCTTCAGGTCTAAAGAGGGCGATAAGAGACCCAGAAAAATAATTTTGGGAGCCCCTGATTTAAATGATACACAATCGGCATTTTTTCAATGGCCTGCATAGGCTTTAGGAGATGGAAAAAGTGAAAAATTGCGCAGGAAATTCCAATTATATTTGACACTAGCGACCCGCCCTCGCTTCGCTTCGGAAACATTAAAACACACATGAAACCAAAAAAATTAAATAAAATAAAAATAAAAAAAAGCCTATGTTCATAGCCTATGTTCATCAGGGACAATGTCGGCTTCTAATGGAAAAAGAATTTTTCAAATCGGTCCAGTAGTTTCGGAGCCTATTCGAAACAAACAAACAAACAAATCTTTCCTCTTTATAATATTATTATAGTATAGATATGGACCGAACATCAGGTTCCTACCTGGTCTATTTACTGTTGCCATCGATGCCAATCAACGTTGGTCATGGACTTCGGCGACTTCAGGAGCACAACCTAGCCTCTGTCCACTGCTGAGGGCGCTCCCCTCAAAACTCGTTTCAAGGACATGCCATAGCACTTTTGAAATACTGTAGAGGGGAGCTCATCCCAGAGCCGGATGGTACGTGCCAAAACAGATCTATAAAGATAGTCTAAAAGGAGTATGCATAAATAAAAAATGATGTTTGGTTTCTGTTCTTATTTGTTTGTTTTATTGTTCTATGTTTGACTTATGTAAACAATTATTTGATGCTGATGAGATTTAGTACAGATATTAGCACCTCAGAAAAGGTTTCGGTCACATTACCATTGTGAGGTTTATTGGGTGATGACGGAGGAGGTGGCGTGTGCGTTGGTTGTTTGTTGCGTGTTGTCCTCCATAAACCTCATCTGAGCGGTCAATAAAACACTACATATAATTACATGTTTATTCGCGTCAGCGACCGCGGTGGATCGCTGCACGTTGACCACTGACTGACTAACGGATGCTGCTCATTACTATATGCACAATAACTGCATAGTAAGGTAAGCGGGGCGGGGTATCATTCCCCTACACCATCACGGTGGGTGACGCGTGAACAATTTCTCATACATTTAGAAATGTTCACAACGAAGCGTAACCGGGATTCGCTAGTCATCAAATAACAAACTAACAACAAAATTTCTTCTAGAAAACGGTGTCTCGACAGCGATAATATTAATGATTCTGTATGCTATAAATTTGGTACAAAAATATTGGGGATAACACAAATCTAAAATATACGCAAACAAGGAAATATTTTAACAGTAACTTTATTTTAATATAAATCATATTAATAGTAACACAGATCCCGTATTATAATATTTTATTAATGTCCCTATAATTTTCGCAACTGAATTTTCAACTGTTGTTTTTTTTTCCTGCCTAAGCTGATAGCCTTGAGAGGCTATATCAGCGTAATCGGGCGAGATATTGTTCTGTGGTACCTACATAGTCAGGACTAAGGCTCATACATTACGTCACAACTAGTCTCCTCCCAGAGCCGCTCTGTGCTAATGCAATACACGGGAGTGGCTGTCTCGTGGCAAACACAGTATTCCTAAACTCATTACCTCGTTCGTAAAACGGGTATGATTGCCTATACGATTTGCCGAGTACCTAGCTCATTACTATTTATCTCTATGTATCTAGAAATTTCAGTTCTGTCCTGCACGTTAAGTTCTCCACATCAATTGAAAATATGTTTGTCAAAAAATTATAAGAATAGGTTTTTAAAAATTATATCGTCTTAAATTCCTCCTCGTTTAGATCACGAAATGAAACATTGATGTTACCAAAGTCAAATAAAATCGAACTTTTCTCTTTTTCCTTGAAAAACAACGCATTTTTTTTGAGGGACGTCCGAAAGCAGTGCAAAAGAATTTTAGAAAGTTCCTTTATTATAATTTATAATATATGCTTAGACCATGACTGTTTTAATAGATGCTCTTCTCTAAACGTCCCTTCCTATGCGCATAGTGGGACCGATATGCAAGGCTTACGAAACAATAAAACCTGCGATTAAACCAAAAATATTTATGAGAGAATTCACTTTTATCCATACAAATAAAAAAATACAGAATAAGGAAAATAAGTGAAACATTAAGAGACATTAATGTGAAACATTAAGAGACATTAATGTGAATTGTCAATGTAACACATACTTTTTCTTAATATATACTAATTAATGAGCTTGGAATAAATTCCAATATTCATTGCGTTCATCGTACAAAATATTCATTTATAGAATTAGTTTATAAAATTAAAAACTTACTATTTATAAATTTTATAATACATGGAATAATATAATCTATACAGCAGTAGCATTTTATAAGACACATGCAAATTGGACACAATCTCACAAAGATCTAGCTATTGTTTAAAAGATAGATTTGTTCATTGACAGATTTTAATTAAATATCCGTGAAAAATGATAATTAAAAATACCATATTTCAGAGAATATGAGAACATTTGTTTATAATTTGATTACCAACAACCATACCTTTAAGGTTTGAACATTTACATGTATTACAATAGCTCTGATCCAATTAAACTGATTCACATTTATTCTGCTTGTCTCAACCTGGCAAGTCTCTGTGTGAGTTCGTCTTGTTCTTGGGAAACAACAGTTGCGGTACCAATAGATGTGCTCGGAACACCAGATGGAAGTTCCATATTTAGCTCCAACCTTGAAAACAAATTAACACAATTTTAATAGATTTCTTGCACATAAACTTATGATTATAAAACAATCTACTCATTCTTACAATTGGTGTTTATATTGTACTTCATCAAGTGAGATGATTATAAAAAGCAACTATTGAACTTACATACCTAGTTATAAAATATATAATCAAGGCATACTTATGTATTATACTGGTGGTAGGAACTCTTGTGAGTCCGCGCGGGTGGGTACCACCACCCTTTTTTTTTTTTTTTTTTTCGGGTAGAGGGCCGAACCTCCTATAACCTCCTGGGTACCACCACCCTGCCTATTTCTACCGTGAAGCAGTAATGCGTTTCGGTTTGAAGGGTGGGGCAGCCGTTGTGACTATACTGAGACCTCAGAACTATATCTCAAGGTGTGTGGCGCATTTACGTTGTAGATATCTATGGGCTCCAGTAACCACTTAACACCAGGTGGGCTGTGAACTCGTCCACACATCTAAGCAATAAAAAAAAACCTATTTCAATATAATTGATATGATATTAAGTTTAGCTAAATTAATTAGTACACCATTCATTTACAAGACAAATTTAATGTGTAATAGAAAAAAAGGTTAAAAAATTCATACCCAGCTTCATCTGCAACCTGTTGAAGTAAATTATCAACGTCTCCTTGGGGAACTGTAGTTGTCGTAGTTTGTGACATCGCATTCTCCATGTAGGACGACTGGACATCCAAATCCTCAAACTGACTCTCGAACTTGTCCATTAGTGTAGAAATTTTCTCTAAGTTCATTGATTTCATTGCTGCATCCATTGCTTTTACTACACCGGCCATTGAATTTGTAACCTTAAATTATAGACAATTATTTAATTGTATATATATATCTATAATATCTTCTGTCCTGATCCGTACAACTTTTTAAAAGGTATATAACTAAATTATAAATTTAAATCATTTACTTATTTCCAAAGAAATCTGAATAACACTGTTACATGGAATACCATACTTTACTGGTGGTAGGACCTCTTGTGAGTCATGCATGCGTTTCAGTTTGAAGGATGGGGCAGCCGTTGTAACTATACTGAGATCTTAGAACTTATATCTCAAGGTGGGTGGCGCATGTACGTTGTAGATGTCTATGGGCTCCAGTAACCACTTAACACCAGGTGGCCTGTGAGCTCATCCACCCATCTAAGCAATAAAAAAATAAAAATACCAATGTGACATATTATTATTAGTGTACCTTTCTAGTTGTTAATGCTGTTTGAACTCTGCTAGAAACAGCATCAACTCTCGCTGACATCCTTAGGTAGTTGAGAGCTTGGTTCTTCTGCCTAATCGCATTCTCTGCATGTATTCGTGCCCCCTCCATGTTACCTTTCTGTATAGCTTTCTTAGCTTTCTCTTTTTCTAGTTTTTCTTCTTTTTCACATTTTTTTGAATTGCGTTCTAACTCCTTCACAGCAAATTTTAAATTAAATAAATGTTCTGATTGTTTCAATTAAGGATAGTCATTGTTATGAGTGCTTAAGATCTGTGTTGAAGATCTTAGATTCTTTAACAAAAAATTCTACTATACTAACTACTATGCCTAAGCATTAACATATAATCTAGCCATAATACGTATATAATAAATACATGGTACATAGACAAAACATGTTTACCAGTCACATTTACTAAAAGAAGGATTTCTTGATGGTAGAAGCCAGGTTAGATTGGCCAAAGTGTCAATAGACACCAGGATATACCTAAGTAAGGCAAGGTCTAAATGTTGGCAAGTGGTGCTTGCCAGCTTCCATGCAGGTTACAAAAGATGTCTATCAATTGAAAATTAAATATTTATAGATATCAGCAGTGCTCCTGAAGCTCAAGAGCTAAAGGGAATTCAGCAGCACTAAAAATGCTTATTACATAAATTTTTAAAAGTAGTTGCAATAACTAATTTATTTAAATATTTGCACAAAGGAAAACTGCAGTCTTAACTGCATGGAAGTAACTAAAGAATATATCATTATGATTATTTGATCAAAATTTATTATATAAAATCATTCCGTTCTACTTACATCAGCAGGTTCTCTTACGGACACAGTTTTAAATACTGATATCATAAAATTAACTTATTGTTATGATAAACATTTCTGAAAAGGATACTTTCCATTGCGGAGGATGACATTTCGTTCCCCAGTTTGAAGGCTTTTATGAACTTTTAACACACAAAAAATAGGTAATAATACCCAACAAACGGATATCTAGTAAATTTCAGAATTAGAAAAACGTGAAAAAGTGATAATACTGTTATTAAGGCAGATTAATCATAAATAAATCCAAGAAATGAGTCACCACCATAGACAAATCAATTTTAGAATACATATATTAAGTGTATAATCTATATTAGAGTATACAACATTATTAAGTGTCGGAATTACTGCTCAATCTCAATGCTAAAAAATTATGAAGGACTACGATTGCTGATAATGTAAATAGCTTGTAATAACGTATGAAAGTAAAAGTCACAAAATTTACATAAGTATTATTCACTGTTAGTTTATTACGAGTGTAAAGGCGGCTATAATTCTAATGTTAATTGTGAATTAATGTTGAAATATTTATATTTACATCCCTCACAAACAAATATTAAGTGTATAATCTATGCTCACAAACAGCGATCGAAAAAAGGGACTACTCAATAAAAATAAATTATAACTCACATCTGTGAGCATACACTTTTTTCAGAGCCAACGGGACTATTTGTATTAATTTTTTAATAGTTAAATTGTAAAAAGGTGATCGTAACGTGAGAACGTAATGTAAGTACGTGATCTTCACATTTTTGTTTTTCAAATTTACATCTTTATTTTTATTAGGCACAAACTCACCCATACTATGATGTAGATGAAAGCGAGTTTCATATTTTGTGACGATTTCATGTCTTAACTACTCAATCGATTATCATAAAATTTCTCATATACTTTGTCAGGGGCACACCGAAAGACACTGGATACCTTTCATACAGAAAAGGTTACTTATGTACTATTTCCGAAGGATATAAGTTTTAAACCGTCATCCAGCATATGAACTCGGTCTATATCGGGCGACTATACATACGCAAGAAGCTTAAAATTTAAAGTTTAAAAAATTTATGTTTAAAATGCAAAATTTACAAAATGTATTTAGTTATTATTTTATACATTTATTATACATGTTTCATTCGTAGATAGCCTCTTGCCACGTTGTATTCCGGAAACGTGAATTGATTACGTTTAAAATTAATTAATTAATTAATTAATTAATTCTAAATTATGGAATTACATTTAAATATACATTATACGGATACAACTAGCCATTCATTTAAATAGCTAGGATGGGAAACGAACTTACGCCTTACCAGAAACTGTAAGGCTAGAAAAAGCCACAGAAACTTTCGCCTTGGTTTTTATAGGAATAGGCTCAGTCGGGAACGATTTACGAAAACAGATTGTGGTATTCGATAGTAAATCGTTTGGAAATACTGAAACTTTCTTAAATTGTTATTTTTTATCTGTGGTTCTGTTGCTGCAGTTGGTACGTCTTTCATTTTGACACGACATTTCGACAACAAAATAACAAAAGATCAAAATAAATTCAATTGAGTGAAGTTGCTGCAGCCGGGTAAACGAAGGTGCAAAATAATCTTTTTAAATTTAAAACATCGGACTTTACTGTAACTTGAAAACGAATTGTATATTTTTTTCGTGTATTACCTGTATGGGGCTTAATATTATTTTTCATTTTCTTATATTCGTAATTAAAACAAATTCGTTGACATATACGTAAACCAGAGGATTTCGTTGGGCGTAAAAAGAAAATGGCGTGTGCTACATTAAAAAGAAATCTGGATTGGGAGTCTAAGGCGCAATTACCTACAAAGAGAAGAAGATGTTCACCATTTGCAGCAAGTCCAAGCACAAGTCCTGGGTTAAAAACATCAGAATCGAAACCATCTTCATTTGGAGAATCCGTTAGTGCACCTGTGAAAATTACCCCAGGTTTGTTTATTTTTTTACATCGAACTTTACTGAGTCTCAATTTGTTTCGTAAGCTCGTAATAAATTTACTTAGTAATAAATTAAAGTTATAATGTTCTAGTTGGCATTAAAATTTACTTTACGCCATAATTTGTGCGATATCAGAAACATTTTATTGTGTCAGAGCGAGATAGGTGATGCGTAAACTGCGTAAAGATCGTTGCGTGCATTTTTTGTTCTTTTGTGAAGTTTTTTTCTTACATCGAATGATTTTAGACGTATTCTGAAAAGCCTGGAACGTGCTCTTCTAACTACCCCATAAAGATACACTATAAATGAGATTTTGATTAGTTACCCACTCACTTGAAATTTAATACTGCAGTGTGAACGAACAGACATAATTACTGGTTTCATGCTTTGTGGTTTCGATCTTTGTGACAAAATAGTATCGAAACCACTAACTAACGCGATGAATTTATCTTTCGCCCGAATTTATATCATGAAGTTTTCGTTTTTGTGAATGAATAGTCAATATCAGCTGATTCATCATTGTCCAAACAAAGTATGCAAATGAGCCAAAGTACTTGTCCTTCCGACTCGTTTTGCAACTTTGGCAATTAAATTTGTTTTGTTAAAAGCATGTGGTGGTTATTTATGTAATTTTACAGACTTTGGCCCTCACATTGTTAATTATTACATTAAACATGTGGTATTTTTGGAATTAAGAACAGCTAGGTTTTCATTGCCTTAAAAGGTAAACAAGCATTCAGCCCTCTTGATGGTGAGTGGTCATGAACATCAGCATAACAGGGGGGCATAGCTGATATGCTGCCTGCAACTTCAGACTATTAAAACATTAATAAATGGCAAATGTTAATTACAGATAATAGTCTAAAACTTTAATTAACAGAATAAATGGTTTAATCTGGGTTGATTGATTTAATCCAAGTAAATTTTTAAATAGAGTTGTCTTAAAACTAATTTATTTTTATAAAAATCATTGATTAATTACATGCAGCATAGAATTCCCATATTTTAGATTGTAATTAGACGAACAAAAAATACATGGCATGAAACAGTTTGCTTTTGAACTTTAATAAATTGACCACATATGAAACAAAATGCATCAGCATCGTATTTACACTTTCGTGACATTTTAAGTTTTTTTGGGCTTGTAAAAAACACCTGATCATTGTTTATGACTCTAGTGCCATCTAGTGGCACTGTGTAAACGTAAACACCCCACTCTCATAGCGCGTTTTTTTTTTAAGTATTAAAATAAATTAAAATATATAAAAAAAAAAAAAATATTAGTATTATTACTATAACTATCACAAAAGCAAACTACACCAAAAAAAGGTATTTTATTTTCGTTTTTGTGAATAAGTAACCGGAAAAACTTAGTATAAAAGTTAGGACAAAGAATGAAATTTTTTTTGTAGAGTTGTGATCATCATGATGTTATTACTAAGACTATAAATTTGTAAAATGTTTTTTTAAGATAGTAAATGTTTATTTATTTTGGTTATGGCTACATCAAATCAAACTACAAAATAGTAATTTCTAAATATTTCAAACACATAAAATAATAAAACCAATTATTATTTAAATTAGTAGACAGTAGTAGGGTTTTAACAATAATTTGTGTTTTTTTTAACATTACTTTTATTTGAAAATTACATGAGTAAAAATTATTGTTCATCATAACATGAAATATTTGTTCAATAAAAAAACAATCAAGGTTTTTTTTTTGTGCAAGCCTGTAAATTTCCACTGCCAGGAAACTGTTCGTGGTTTTAAAATTTTTAGTGTATGACATAATTGGCTGCACATGTTTGTCTAAGCTTTCACACATTTGAAAGCATTATGTGATCCATGAATATTAGCAATATCACACAGGCTTCAGAACTAGATCTACTTGTTAACTTGAATTTGTGAAGTAGCCCGGAATCAATTCTTAAATCAAGAAACACAATCAAATCCATTTTCACCAGGTGGACAGTGGGTTATTTTGCTCATCATCATAAATGAACTTATACTTCTTACACATATTCAGTTTTGATCTATAACAGTTACAAGGATCATCATAACTCATTTTGAGCCAATAAACTTAATTCCTAACTAAATTAAAATGTTTACAGAACGCATGGCACAAGAGATTTATGATGAGATTAAACGACTGCATAGACGTGGACAGCTGCGCCTGGCCAACGGCTCTGCTGCATCATGCTCATCATCAAGTGGATCCGAAGGAGACTGTTCACCGCCTCATCAATCAGCTCACGGCCCACAACGTGCCCGCACTCGTGCACTATTCACTTTTAAACAGGTCTAATAATTAATGCTCCATTTTTTGTATTCAATTCTGGCTAAGATCCACCTAATTTTAATTAAAAATGTGTAAAGAAAAAGCCTATATTATTTAAAACTCTTTAGTTTTTAAAAAGGATTTTTCTTTATTGTCATTCAGTAAAAAGTAAGTTGTTTGTTTAAAATATAAATTTTAAAAGAGATTAAGGGCTTTAAATGTTTTTTTCTTATTATGTTACAGAAAACACAATTAAGTTTTTTTTATTTTTATTGTTTATTCATTCTGAAGCACCCCCTATCATTATAAATATAATGTGTTTATTCAGGTTCGTATGATCTGTGAGCGAATGCTCCATGATCAGGAGGTGGCTCTACGTGCTGAGTATGAGTCTGTACTCAGCACCAAGCTTGCTGAACAGTATGAAGCCTTTGTGAGGTTCAACCTGGATCAGGTACAATAATATTTTTATACTTACAGTATTAAATTAGGTTCTGTGGTCTAGCTACATTCTAGCTTCTTTAGGAAACAGAAAGTTATGTATCTCTGCAAATATGAATTGAGTTATCATTATGAATAACTATTAGGAATTTATACTATAGCTTTAGATGCAGGTAGAAGTATTAGATAAATTATTTCTGGTTGTAAATTTTTGTGACACTAAGAATACTTCATAGATACAAGCAAGTGGCTTGGATTATTCAGTAACATTCACTTGCCCTGAAATATGGCTTTGTAGATTCTGCTGTACGTTATTGTCAATACCAACCTTAATCAGTTCCTGAAAAGGCTCTACTGACTCCTGCAGTAACCATAGTCCTGTTCAATAAGCATGAAATCCTGTTAAAAGCTGGGTTCGATTTGGTTGATATCTCAATTCACCACAATGAGAACCTCCAGAAGACTGAAAAGGATAAAGATACATTGATAAAATATTTAATCTTCTGATGGTTGTGCAAGTGCATGATTTAATGCTGAAGAGCTTTAACCAACACCTTAAGGAGCTTTCACAATCCAGCTGGCTTAAAAACCTAGTGCAGAAAGCTGTCATTCTCGACACAGTGTGCATTGTGAGGTGGTTTCTCTGAAGCTCTAACTGCTGGAGATTTTTATATGGCACAAATAAAAATTTTAGTCCTTTAAGAAATGCGTACATTGTATTGTTTATAATTTTAATTCATTTACAGTATGTGTAATTAATTATTACTTAGAGGTCATTAACATTTAATGACCTCTAAGTAAACTTAAGAGCCATGAGCTTGGCTGCTCATCTCCACTAATTACCTAATAAAACAGTTATTTGGTTTTGATGATGTTATTAGCTAGTTAAGTTGGTTCCTAAATTAGAATTAATTAATTTGGTTTTAACTAAAAATTGGTGAATTACAGGTGCAGCGCCGACCCCCGCCCAGCACGTGCATGTCGCTCGGTATGGACGCCGAACACATGCACCAGGACCTCGTACCCAGCTGTGAGTATTTGTTACATAGTTGTCCTTTTACACAGGTTCTTGCCCTTGGATACCATTTGGTTTTCTGCTTTGTGAAAAAATGCTACTTCATAAAAATGGTTTTACCTTTGTTATTGAGGTTTGGGCCTCTTATGTTAACTTAATGTACAAGGTGAAATGATTAAACAAACATGTTTATTGACAGTTTTCAGGATCAAAATTATAGTATCACTATACACACAATATATGCTTGCTGTTTGCATACTGAATAGGTGTCGCTCTTTACTATATAATTGCTTCACGTATAGTCTCGCTTCGCGTTCTTGAATTCGGTTTGATTATTGTCGCACTTTTGTTCTTGTGCATATAGGCCCCTTAGTATGGTGCGATTTATGATACGACCTCAATCAATATCGTTCGTCTACCCTCTTTTAGATGACGTTATTGTGCTATTTTTTGGTTGTTAGGGCCACTAACTGATAAGAGATGGCTCCAGTGCCAATAGGTGCGAATTTTACAATTATAAGCAAGCAGTTTCACATTGTAAAATTTTCCGGATATTGTTATCTTTGTCTTATCCTTTAATTATATGATTTATTAAGTAAAAAACAAAAGAAATAAGTGTACTGTTAAAACAATCACAATCCTAGCTTGTCGATTTTCTGCAATAGTTCATTGTAATATAGTTTTACCAGAGAGTGGTCTTAAGATTTCTACATCACTGAAAAGTAACATATGGTTCAGATAAATTCTGACACTGATATTGATAATCATAAATGTAGTTTAAAAACTAAAAAGACACATAAATAGCAAATCGAGCTAACTATTGAAGTTGTTGTGGCCTTAAGCATAAAACGCTCGGTGCTTACCAAGGGATGCAATGTTGTTCGAATTTTGCAAGCAGGTGCCAATTTTTCTAACGAAATACGTACGTGACAATTGTTCACGAATAATTACCACAGTGAAGGAATAACAGCGTGTAATAAAAATAAATTCTTAGAACTCATGTCTTGAGGTGGGTGGCGCTATCTACGTTGTAGAGGTCTATGGGCTCTCTGATACCCACTTAATATTAACCAGATGGTTTCTGAGCTCAATCACCCACTGAAGCAAAAATACATCTTTTTCATCATCCTGTTGATATTGGTTATTCAGGATTTGAGAACAATGTTAAAATTATGAAATAAGTAATTTAATTATTAAGATTAAATTATTGTATTGTCATTGTGGGTACTTGGTTGAATTCTCAAGTTAAACGAACGTCACAATAAACACGTAATAAAATGGTGTTAACAAACATTTAAAGAGTTTTTTGTCCACTGATAATAAAGTATAATGCCATACCTATATAAAAATAATTTATTATTTTATAAATCGGTTTTCAGATCTGTCCTAATAACAACATGAGGCGGAAACGTAGTGTGGCGCCGCCAATATATCAAGACAAACATATTTTCGTATATGTGAATAATGTATGCGGGAGAATAAGTATCCTAACAAATGAAGACATTGTGATTGCGGCGGAGTTCGACTGGGACTTGTATTGATGCACTATAGTAAAAAAATGTAATACAAATGACCAACTACAGAATTTTCATCATATTGACAGAAATTTGTCATGTTACAAACTTTACTTAGTGTATAAAATTTTATTATACACATTAACTGTTGAAATGTACATTTTATTCAAAGTCTGTACCACTAAAAGTGTAAAAAGAAGTTTAATGCATTCTCTGCAATGTTGCAAGTTAAATTATTCTTAAGAATAAGATAAATTTGTATAAATACAGAGATGATATTAAGAGTAAGCAGTTTGTTTGCGTGCATTGTTAACACAATATTTTGTCCTGGTTGAATTCCGTGGTTCATGCCACATAAACATAATTAGCTTATAACGCTTTAGATAAGGTTCGCTGGATAATTGTGTTCATAGACTGGGACGATGGCGACTGCGTTCGCTATAAACTATTGATTTAAACGTATGCCACGCATTTGAATTGAAAATTGTACTGAGATGTTATTAATGTTTAAAAAAAAACTGGTCTTTTGTTAACAATATGGCCAATGTTAGGGTCATTGTTGTATATGTCATAGTAATTTGACAAGTAGGATTTGAATTTTCGAATCAAAAATATATACAAACGTTTTATATTTACGTTTTCTAAACAAACGGACCTGTAGTTTAGTATATAATAACATGATAAATTCACGCAGAGTGCCTCTTTAAATCATTGTCCTCAAGAGTTTGTGAATTAGTTAGCCATAATTATTTTGAATGGTATGATTTACTTTTTTATTGTATTTTAATGTTGTCGAATTATAGTTATAGTTTTTTTTTCGTCGTTGCTATTAGTTGCAAATGCGACAAGCTTCGACGGAATGGCCTTCGTATCAGATGTCTGGTAATTTGTAATCTAATGTATTTGTAAAATGGTCATGGCCAAAATTTATCACTCATTTTTTGTGTTTTATTCACACTGATACACGGCTTACTAGAAAATTAATAATTAATTAGCTTTATTTAAGACTTTCTAAGTTATTTTTTTGCTCTCAATAATGCACCGTTTTAGCTAATGTCGCCGCACACGGATACCGCGCGACACATTGACAAACATTATTGGGATTTGTTTTATATTATTGTTTAGTTAAAAAAAAAAACATTTTGATTGAATACGAAAACGATGATTTGTTACCAAGCATTATTCAATGAAAATAGGATAGGATTTTTTTAAATTGTATTATCAGCTCATTATTAGTAGGTTATTGGCGTTTAAGAACTGAAATTAAATTAGCTAAACACCCAGAACGTAGTTTTATTTTCTATCACAAATATCTTGCATGAGTAACTTACACGATTAAGTTCACCGCCCCTAAGGCTGCCTGTCCACCGAAGCGGAGCGAGGCAGTGGAGCGGACAAACGGAAACACTAACCAATACGATTGCGCAAAATCTCTGCTTCTCTTCAGTGGACAGCTTTTTTATTCCTACCTGTGCTGATAACCTTGAGAGGCTATTTCAGCTTCACCCTAACGTGTGTAGGTGAGCTCACGGGGCTCAAACCGGAGTGTTGTTAACACTGACCCTAACAAGAGCAGTGCTTCGCAGAATTTACCATCGAATCTGAAACCCGACCCACTGAGAAGATACGGCGAGAAACTCTGGACTGTGTCTATGGGTTAATTCGCTCGTCGAGCCCTTCGTCGCAAGCGACGGGTTTGACGAGAACGGTGACTGGTGCTTATGGTGCCTAAAAGCACCGTTAATGGATCAGAGGATAGGGAGTTGCGAACTAGTTTAAAAGTGTATACCAAATCGGTAAGCGGAGCTGTGAAGCGAGGGCGGGCGCGTGCTCCAGACGCGCCCGCAGTGTGAACTGACTCGTCGCGTAGGTACTAAACTGCGCTCCGCATTACTTTCTCGCTCCGCTGCGGTGGACAGGCACCCTAAGCGCAGGTTTGCCATTTACTATAAAGCCATGCACTGCGTCCCACTCGATACCGACCCCCTCGGTCTCATATCGAGGCGTCAGTGTGCCGATTCGCGCTAAGGGGACACCAGCCGATCGTCCTCCCCCCACAAGCCCCTCCTGAGCAGTGACATCGACACTGCTCGAATGACGCTGTCATTCTAGCAGGTGATATAAATTGCCACCACACTATATAGGTGTTTCTTTGATGGATCGAGTCAGAAATGATGAAATCCGACATAGGCCTAAAGATTAGCAAGCTGAAGTGGCAATAGGCCGGACATACGTGTTGCAGAACCGATGACCGATAGAGCAGACGTGTTCTGGACTGGAGACCGCGTACTGGTAAGCGCAGCGCTGGGCGTCCCCCTGCCCGTTAGACCGATGACTTGCGGCGATATGCTGGGAGAGATTGGATGCGGAAGGCGGTGGATCGTTCATTGTGGCGGACTATAGGAGAGGCCTACATCCAGCAGTGGAGAGATACAGGCTGATGATGATGATATATAGGTGGAACTGCCATCGGACGAATGTGAGCGGTAGGCATCTCGACGCGTTTACAGGTGACCTCACATTCGACCTAGTCGGCCCTCCAACCCCTACATGCTATCCGTATAGCACCGCGCTCCATCCGAGCACAATATACCTGGCACTGCTTAGGAACGTAACTCTGCGCTTACGCTCCGTCGAGGTAATGTCGAAATTCGACTAAGACCACTGACCTGTCACATGCAGCTCGGTCGCCCCACAACCCAGACCCAGTGACGAAGACCATGGTGGATTGGAAGAAGCTGATCACCAGCTTAGCCGAAGCTCGAAGACACCGTCGAATCCATAAACATCATGACCGAATACATTTCTTCCGCGACCATAAGATCTTCTAAAGAAGTGGATGTGGAAGGCTGCTTCCACCGCATCAGACTCTCTCCTAAGATCTAAGAAGAGAAGAATCTCTTAAGAGCTAGGAACGCGACCATCCGGGCCTACGATCTATATCCCACGGAATCAAACCGGAATCGGATGCGTCATCTTCAGCGTCTACGCTATCGAGAACGTTAAAAAACTCGCATTAAGAATGCTTCGCGCTATACAGTGCGCGACCGGGGAACAGCACGGCCAAACATTATGTATTTTTGTATGAAATGATTCATGCCTGACCGTGTCCCGGCCGTCCGCCGCCATTTCTCGGCCGGGGCACGGCGTTGAAATGTCGATGGATATTGTTTCCCGGCTCCGGCACGGTCCGAACCCGACACGTTCTAACATGAACATATGCACCCGCAGTGCAGTCAACGTCAAATCTTAATGAGATGAGCAGCTCAACAGCAAAATGTACGATGAGAAATGTTGTTCTCATCTTCTATAAATTCTTTGTAAAGTAAAGCAAATTCTCCTTCTGCTTTTCGCTCTCTCCAGGTTGGATGTACACCCATCTTCTTTTAGTAGTTTCGCTTTATTTTTCCAATACTTCATCACCGATGGCAATTTCAATAGCTGCCAATTTAAATTGTGAAGATTATATATTTATTTAATTCCGCATTAAGTCCGCCTGTGTACAAGTTTAGTTTTGTGCATAAAGTATAAATAAATAAATAAATATTTACTTAAACGCCAAGTCTATCGACAGATGAAATCACTAGCTGACAAAAACCACTTAACACAGACACGAATACACCCAGCTTGATGCAACATGAATGACTGGCCCGGTCTGGTCGCGACACGGTGTAGCGTGAATCATCCCTTAAGGACACTGAACCAAATCAGACCGTCTGTAGGATATACGAACATAATTATTATTTAATGAGTCCGCCTCGGTTCAGTAGTCTGAACATCGGATACGGTCCGAATATGGACCGGATTCGGTACGGTCGGATACCATACTGAATTCGGTACGGTCGGATACCATACTGAATTCGGCCGTGTGGACGGTTAGGCCGAACAAACTACGATTAGTGTTCGGAAAGCCAAGAAAGACGCCCGATACCGAACGCGATGTATTAATTGAAGTTCTTCAATTATACAACGATGTTCAATGTTTGTGTGATACATCTCAAAATCTTTATTGGAACCTTGATGTTTGAAAGCCAACAATTACATTAACAATACTTAAAGATGGTATGGGCATGTGATGAGACGAAATGAAATTGAGGTTGGTAAGAGAATGTTAACTATGAATGCGGAAGTATATAGAGGAAGAGGTAGACCTAAGAAGAAATGGATGGATTGCGTGAAAGATGATATGCGTAAGAGGGGAGTGAGCGAAGAAATGGTATATGATAGAAGAGTATGGAAGGAGAAAACATGCTGCGCCGACCCCAGGTGACTGGGAGAATGGCAGGATAGTGATGACTTAGAATACTTAAAGAGGATTACAAAAAAATTGAAAACATTGCAAGAGTAATTGTGACGATATAATTGAAATAAAGTTCATTTTTCGAAACTCTCTTGATGCAAGATACTGCTCTTCCTGATGCAAGATACTTTAACGTGGCAATAAGTTCACTTCCGCAACAGACTTTCTCATAAAAATACAATTTTTTTGTGATCCAAGGTTTAACTGAATTTAATAAATCTCCAAAGATTAACCGATTCATTCATATTTTAAAATCATCTTCAGCTAAAATTCTTATCAACTTTATGTGACTAAGCGCGTCGCGCTCTCATAAATACAGTTTTACCCATTCTCTTCTTTTTTCCGCTTTTTACGTGTTGGTTGTAATGTTGCTGCTAGTTTTTCCGCTACAACCATGATTTTTGAGTTCAACGACATAATCAAATCCATGTGCACTTCAAGATGTTCACGTCCGGATATGGTTTGCAACTGTTCAATCCGGTCGTCTGAGACGAAAACGAATTTGTTAGGCGGATTTGGTCTGCTAGACCAAATTCGAGCGTGTGTTAATGCTTTAACTGTCTCGCTAGAAGAAAGTCACGGCACGAAATGCTGACAAGGGGGAATCGTTGGCGGTATTTGCTTAAAGAGCACTGACCGTGGCGCGTGTCTAATTTGCTTAAAGAGTACCGTGAAAGATGCCGCCGAGGACATTACCGTTGGCTGCTTTGTGGTGTTTCTATTTCACCGCACGCCACCGGTTAATACCGCTAGGGATAAAAGGGATTATGGAGGATAGAACTATGAAGGCTATGCTTCGATTTACACTGCGAACAGTGTTCAGTGTTCGTATTGGGGAAAAATTCGTTCCGTTAAGACTGACAAAATACAGTTGCAGTATCCTAGCGAAATGTATGACGTCATAAATCGACATCATTTTTCTACTGTGAACACTGCTGGTATTTTCGAGGCAAATAATGATCACGTGATCACTTTCACCGTGCATCCTCATTTCAATATTTCGGTTATTAACCATGATTTTTTATACAACAGACATGTTATCTTCATAGTAACTGACTCTTAAAATCTGATCGCGTCATATATATCTACATACCTACCGATATAGTGCACACACATGTTGACAAGTAGCATTAATGAAAAGTACAAAAGATGGGATAAGCGCGTGAGTAAAAAAGATAGCTATAATTGGAACGATTGCACTTGTTATATTATTATTGCATTTGTTTAGACGCGACTAAGTCTACGGGCACGAAACTTGCGATGGCTGAGCGATGGCGACAGCGAGGCGACGTGACACGGGGCGGCAGGCAGCGATACCTCGCGCGGGCACGAAACAAGCTGGCGGGCAGTCGCGCTCATACAGTGTTGTGCGAATCATGAGTTTACGACGAAGAGAATTGAGAAGCTCTTGGAGCCTAGTCTCCTAATGAGGGAATTATTATTATTACTTAGAGATGGTGTTTATCCATTAAATCAACGAAGACGCAATTGGGGAGAATTTTCTACGCTTTAATTTTTTTTTTTTTTTTTTTTTTTTTTTTTTTTTTTTTTTTTTTTTTTTTTTTTTTTTTTTTTTTTTTTTTTTTTTTTTTTTTTTTTTTT